TCAAAACATTTCCATAAACTTCTTTGATATTCTTTGTGGCTACGGAGGCGTTGTTTCCCTTCTTGTGCTACCACTATATGAATCACTTGGATTACTCTGGATTACCACTTACGAATAATTACATTAGATAGCAATGAACTCAATAATTTACTAAAAATTACGATAGATAACATTGGATTCTATACTCACTGTGAATCACTTGGATTACTCTGGATTCTATAATTTATCAATAATTACAGAAGATGATATTCAATTTTATAGTTACCAAGAAGGACGTTGGGTGGCCTTGAATTTTACACTTGTAAAGAATCGTCTTAGATTAAACTGAATTGAGTAATTATTAAAAATTGTATTGGATTGCACAAGTCGGTACATATTACTATAAGTCATAGTGGATATACAGCATTCTACAACTTACTAAGAATCACTATGGATGACACTGGATTCTATAACTTACTAAGAAACACACTATATGTCATTGGATTCTATACTTGTTAAGAATCGCACTGAGTGATTCTGGATTATATATTCAGTATTACCTTGGATAGCACTCGATTTTATATTATCTAAAAACCATACTGGATTAGACAAGATCTTATATCTTGCTAAGAACCATATGCAATGACATTTGTTAGATGTGCAAGACTGTTTAGTGTAAGATTTATTATTTAGTTTATTTAGTGCTTTATTATTTAATCATTATTTAGTTTTCATAACAAGAGTGTTAAAAGTAATTGTTTTATAAGCGATAGTTATGATAAGTTTGGTTGCGTAACTCGCTAAGAGTTGTACGTTATGTTTGTACTTCAAATGTTGTAGTATTTTTAACAAAATCTTTCTCGAAACCTCTGAGTTTTTCTCGCTATGCGAGTATTGTTACATCATAGCATTTCCTAGTTTGTAGAAAGCTCTAGGCCCCAGTTGGAAAATTTATAAATATAGGCGACTAAGTGAGTGCAAATCCAGTAAAAGTTCAGTCAGAAAAAATTTAGAAAACGTAACGGGCGATATTTTAAAGTGAGTTTCACAGTTTAACAGAGACAAGGAGAATAATTTGTTCTAAAGTAATTGAGCCCATTTGTGTGGACTTTGACCAAAAAGTAGACAATTATTTAAAGTTTAGGATACAACTATGGTAACCCACGGAGTAATGTAAATGAATTATTCATACTATTGTGATAAGAGTAGAGAAAAATAATTCGTCTTGTCAATTGGATTCTAAAGTAATTGAATCATCCTGTGTGGACTATTGACAAGAAAAGTGAATTATTTAGAGCTTTAGATACAACTGTGATATCCTATAGTGTAAAAAAGTTTTGTACATATGTTTGACTTGTTTTGAATATATTTTTTAAAACAAGTGGTTTGTTTGCTGTCCGTTTATTGTTCGAATTTATCGCCAGCAAGTCACAGACACCTACTGTAAAAGAATCCCGGCCCCTATTCACATATAAAATCCGGACAACGTTAGATTTTATGCTTACTAATTATCTCATTGGATAACATTGCAATTAATAGGAATTATATTGGCGGGCCCTGGGCTCCTTAACCTACTAAGAATAATATCCAATTTTACAGGATTCTATAACTTACTAAGAATTACGTTGAATGAAATTCGATTTCATACGTATTTAGAATCACACCTGATAACACTGGATTCAATATTTACTAAGAATTATATTGGACGCTATAAAGCACTACAAGTGTGAAAAAATTTTAAATAAAAAATTAAAGGAAGTGTGAATAGGAGCACCAAAAAGTAAGGAAACAAGGTATGAATGGGCGGGTTAACATTACAACACTTGGTGGTTTTTGACATTGGTGCAATTTGTGTGGCCATCGTTCCGGCCGTTCCTACTTCTAGTTCTACTTTGAACTTTGATCCAATTATAGACTTAAGTTGAGTTTCATCAGTAGCTAATCCTTTCTAAATACTCAAAAATCAGCAGTTTTGATACTATTTATTTGACCCACCCCTTACCAATCAGATAGCTATAATGCCTTCCATAAGCAAAGTATGATTATTGAAGCTTCCTGTCAGACTTCCAGCATTAAACAACCCCCTTATGATGTCTTGTATTTCGTTAGAGTCATGTAATTTGATTGCATACATGTATCTGTACTTGGTTGCTGAAACAAAGTTTACAAGAAAAAAATTTATTTATATACACCTTTCATTAATTTAAACAATTACCAAGTTACAAGAAGCACACGAAGTAGTAATGGGTGGAACGATGGCCACACCCACTTTGAAATTGCACCAATGTCAAAAACCACCAAGTGTTGTGATGCTATCCCCCATTCCTAACTTGTTTCTTTACTTTTGGTTTATCCCATTCATACTTCCCAATTTTTTTTATTTAAAAATTTTCATACCTGTGAAATAGTGAAATCATTAGTTAATCTTTAGAGACTTTGTTGCTCGAGACCCCCTACGTATTGAAGGGAAGAAACTAATGAGATGATGAGCAAAGTACGTTCTATTTTTGGTATAAGTATCATAATCCTAAGTTTTCCTCAAATGTCTTTTTTTATATTGATTGTTTTTAATTTGATTGCAAAGCGAAGAACTTCCAGTTTTTCATATCATTGCTACTGATTTCAAGTTACTTTCGTGGTATCACTTGTAAAGCTTGAATGTGTTTTGTCTTATATAGAAGATATTTTAGAAATATTTTAACCTGAACTGTTATTGAAGTTATTTCTGTCTTGAGTGTAGCTAAAAATTGGATCTGTGCTATGTTTCTTATGTGTTATTTCTTTTATAACGTAGGGATAGTGATCAGATGGCAAGAAGATGTTTGCTACAGAAAGCGGAAAGCTTGGAGTAAGCTCATTTTAATATTAACAGAACATCTGTGTTTAATATTAATAGAACATCTGTGTTTAATATTATAACAAATTTGTGTTTTTGGTATGTCAACATTTCTGTGTTTAGTATGACTATTTTTAAGTTCAATTTGACAACACGTTTAGTATGTCAACATTTCTGTGTTTGGTATTAAAGCCATTTGTATGTTTTATTTGAGAGTACCTTTGTGTAATTAGAATTACCATAGATTGTGTATGTTTAACACGACAATACATTTTTTATTAAGTATGACAACACATTTATATGTTTAGTATAACATTTAATTTGTGTATTTTGCATGACAGTTCATTTGTATGTTAAGATCGACTATACATTTACGTGTTTGGTTTCACAACACAGTTGTGTGTTTAGTATGGTAACACATTTTCATATTTAAAATGACAGCATATTTGAATGCTAAGTATTGCTACTACCTTTGTATGTGCAATATGGTGTCACGTCTGTGCGCGCAGCATGACATCACTTTTATATATGTTTGTATGTATGTGTGAATTTTAGTTTGGTCCTCAGCAAAAATAACTTTCTCAAACTTCAAATATTAGTTTTATAATTTACTTATCTAGTTTGAACCGTGATTGTTATACTAAGTTTACAAGTATTTCCAAGTAAAGAAGATGAAATTAGTATTCTAACTAGATGTGCTTCCGCGGGGTCCCTGAAAGTGTTCTGTTTCAAGAGTAAACAAAACCATAATTCAGAGTAACAAATATTTATATTTGTTGCTTTTGAAGTTTGTATGTCATGTTGTGTTGTAACCTACATGAATGTTCTCGTGATTCATGGCATGTGCACGTTTTGTTGACGTCACGACAGTACAAATTGCAACGTTAAGCGTCCCTTATATGACGTCATTTTAGTATCTACTGACTAACTGACAGACAACACACTACTGTATAGTGGTGCGAATGGTTAAAACAGGTGACCTGTCCAGGTAGCCTTCGGCCTCCTTTCGGAAGCGATAACGATTAATTTCTGGTATGAAATGTCTAGCAGATATCAAAGTGAGATAGAATTGAATTGAAAAGTGTGTGTATTATAAATACATCTACATTGTCTTTTCATCCGATATTGTATAACACAATAGCACAATTGTTTTTTACATTAAATATTTATACGAATTTAAAGTAGTCTTATTACAGTTTATATCAATAGCCTAATATTACATTAATTTTGTTGGCAAATAAGCTTTACTTGTATTATCCATCAACAGGGGGCCATGGTTCACTGTAAAAATGTTGCACTGCCAAAGAATCGGTCCAACTGAATCTACATCACCAGGTATGTTCATTTAATTGAGTTCAGTTTTGAAACTTTGCCAAAAATAAAATAAAAATAGTTTCTGATGTTTACTGACACTGAAGAAGCGCCACCTACTGATAATGCTAGCAAATATTTATTGATTGAGAAGTCCATTTTCCTTAGCTGAGAGCCTTGTAACGTAACCCGAAGATATCTGGGTGGAGATGAATTAATTACTATTAATAGCAGATTTCGTGTTTTTGACCAAAACTGTGATATAAACTACTGATACTTGCCTGAGAACAAACTTTTTGTTATTCTTACCACTTCGGCTAATTTCTTTAAAAACAAGTTTTTTCGTAAAATAAAGTATATGTGTGTGTTATTTGTTTGATATTCTCGTTTAAATGTATTATTATGTTATCAGAATAGTACTTATATGTAACCAGGTGTTCAGTTTTGATGTACAGAATTCGTGTACATTTTATTTCATGACGTCTTCTAAACACATCTCAGTAACACACTATTTGTTTGTATCAAAATCTAGGAAACCACTGTTTCTCGTTTCTTTATAATGCACCAAAAAACCAATATAAACGTCGATTAAAAATGAATGATTATTATTTATATAATCTTACAGGAGTTCTTCAAGAGTTTCACGGATTTTTAGACTCAGCACAATATTGGAGGTTCTTCGTTAAAGACAATCATGGCGCTTCTTTCACCTCTCTTCACGGAATCCAGTTCTACGGAGTGGATTCTTCACTTTTAGACTTTTTGGAGGACCTTCACCTAGAACACATAGCGTCATCTATTGCACAAAAAGTAAAATAAAAAGAATTTAAGTGCTCATAAATATATTCTTATTGTACTTCTAGTTATAAAGACTGGCATATCACGATTATTAATTAATGAATATTATTTATTATACCTAAAATCTGCTTTAACTTCAAGTTTCGGTTATGAAAGCAAAGGTTTAGCTATATATTTGAAACTTTTTTTCTATAAAACAAGAAAACAATTAGTTCAACTAACCATACCACAAAACAGATTTTAGCTGAAAATCGTTTGGTCTTAAAAATGATTTACATTTTAATTGTTATATAAATAAATATAAACCCGTAAAGTAACAATTTACAGATTCTCCAAAAACGTATGTGAATTGTTTTAGGTATATGTTTGTATAAAAACTTTTGAAAGTCGTAAATATTCTTATAAAGTGAACAAAACGCTCTATATCATTACTTGTAATTACTATGTATGTTTTTTAATCTTGAACGATATCAACGGGATGGCTTATGGCAGATAGATGTTAACCTTCGTATTTTGTGAAGTTATGTTAATTTGTTTTGGACAGGGATACAACGAACCGGAAGCGATCAAGAAACTTACAAAATCAGACATCGATGAACTGGTATGTATGGTCTTTCTATTTTTTGTATATACCTAATTAAACCTGATTGTTTTATATTATGCTAGCAAGTTGGTTGTTGAAATCTTAAAGGAAAGCATACCCACTCAAATGTAACCTAGCTTGTGTCATGCAGAAACCGAGTTTTTACAGATGACAGCTTTTACAGTAAGGACGAAATTATTTAAATGGTTATCACGTTTCCATTTCTGTTACGATCATTCTCAAATACACGGGTTTTAACGGTAAAAAAAAAGGATTTTGTTCTTAAATTAATATTTAACGATATAAAAATGAACGAAGGATTTACTTAACTTATAGAATCGATGCTGGATACAGGGTTTATCAACGGGTCGGTAAAACGTCCTAGTCTGATGTTAACATACCATTAACCATCAACGGGTCGGTAAAACGTCCTAGTCTGATGTTAACATACCATTAACCATCAACGGGTTGGTAAAACGTCCTAGTCTGGTGTTAACATACCATTTACCATAAACGGG